AATATATTTAATGCCATTGAATGATACACTTAAAAATGGCTCAAATGGTAAATTTTATGTGATGCATATTTCCCACAATTTTTAAAAGTAAAGAAAAAAAATTCGCTCCTCATCACTATCTACATTAGTTGTCACTTCACGGATCCTAGGAAAATCCAAGATATACAAACAGCTCATGCAGCTCAATATCAAAAAATCAAACAACCCAACCAAAAAATGGGCAGAAGACCTAAATAGAAATTTCTCCAAAGAAGACATACAGGTGGCCAAGAGGCACATGAAAAGATGCTCAACATCACTAATTATTAGAGAAATGCAGATCAAAACTACAGTGAGGTATCACCTCACACCAGTTAGAATGGCCATCATCAGAAAATCTACAAACAATAAATGCTGGAGAGGGTGTGGAGAAAAGGGAACCCTCTTGCACAGTTGGTGGGAATGTAAATTGAGTCAGCCACTATGGAGAACAGTATGGAGGTTCCTTAAAAAACTAAAAATAGAACTACCATATGACCCAGCAATCCCACTACTGGGCATATACCCAGAGAAAACCATAATTCAAAAAGACACATGCATCCCCATGTTCATTGCAGCACTATTTACAATAGCCAGGTCACGGAAGCAACCTAAATGTCCATCAACAGGTGAATGGATAAAGAAGATGTGGTACATATATACAATGGAATATTACTCAGACATAAAAAGGAATGAAATTGGGTCATTTGTAGAGTCGTGGATGGACCTAGAGACTGTCATACAGAGTGAGGTAAGTCAGAAAGAGCAAAACAAATATATATTAACACATATATGTGGAATCTAGAAAAATGGTACAGATGAACTGGTTTGCAAGGCAGAAATAGAGACACAGACATAGAGAACAAATGTATGGATACCAAGGGGGAAAAGCCGGGGTGGGGGGGGTGGGGGTGATATGAATTGGGAGATTGGGGTTGACATATATACCCTAATACGTATAAAATAGATAACTAATGAGAACCAGCTATATAGCACAGGGAACTCTACTTCACTTTGCTCTATAGTAGAAACTAACATAACATTGTTAGTTACCCCAATAACTATACCCCAATAAAAAAAAAAAGGAGATTATGGAGTAAGCCAAATCACTCTCCGGGCCTCAGTCTTACCATCTGTGAAATGGAAGGGTTGGGTGGAGAATCCATGATTCCTAGAGTTGTTGTGTTAGAAGAGGAGAGACTTGGGGGAAATAACCCCTACGGAAAGTAAGAAGCCCAGGACTATATAAATAAACATTGATACCTACTAGGTTTTGAGACTCTACTACAGGTCAGACATAAACGTTTTTTATTAACATTTTTTAAAAATTTAAATTATCAAATATTTCAAACATACAGAAAAATCCCTAAATATAGTGATTGTGTCCACCTCCATGAGATCTTAACTCTTTATTCACTGCTGTATCCCCAGAGCCTAGAACAGTGCCTGGGACATAGTAGAAACTCAGTGAGTTTTTTTTGAATGAGTAAATGAATCCTTATGTCTCTTCATATACAAATAAATGTTAGTTCCTCTAGGGTAATTCCTACAAGTGGAATTGCTTCAACTCTAATAAGTTAATTGCCAAACAGCCCACCAATTTACACCCTCGTCACAAATATGTAGGTTTTGTGTTTGCTCAGATTCATACCAACGTTTGAAATTATCATGCTTTCTTATTTTTGCCAATCTGATGGATGTTAATGGTATCTCACTGTTTTATTTTGCATTTCCTTGATTATTAGTGAGGTTGGGCATTTTTCCTTAGGCTTTTCTTATGACTTGCCTGTTCCTTTCCTATGCCCATTTTTCTACTGGGTTATCTTTTATAGTATCCAATATATATTTTGGTACTAACTCTTTGTTAATGTTTTGCAAATATCTTCTTCTTGTTGGTGGCTCATGTTTTCTCTTTGTGATATGATTTTTTGACCAGAAATTTTAATTTTAATATTTTCAAATTTATGATTATTTTCCTTTATGGTTTGTACTTTATATGTTTTGTTTAAGAAATTCTTTCCTACTCTGAATTGATAAAGACATTCTCTTTTTATCTAAAAATTTTTTATTAATTCTTATTGGGAAATAATTTCAAATTTACAAAATGCTGCAAAGATAAAAATAGTACAAAGAACATTCATATACCCTTTACCCAGATAGTGTTAACATTTAATCACATTTGTTTATCATTTGATAAGTATAATATACAACATATAGTATGTAATACATATGACATAAAACATGTACATATATTTTTTCTGATCTATTTGAGGGTAAGTTACATACATTATGGTGCTTTACAGCTAAATACTTCTGTGTGTACTTCCTACAAATAGGGATAGCACAGTTCAAAATTTACACTGATAAAATACTTTTATCAAAGCTCCTGTTCATATCCCAGTTTCGTCAGTTGACAAATTTGATGTTGATACACTTTATAGCATTTTTATAATCCTATGAACTCTATAACCATACAGCAGTTTTAAAAACCCTTTGTACAGGCTCCAAACTAGAGGCAGGTATTGCATTTAATTGTCATATCTTTTTAGCTTCCTTTAATCTGGAACATTTCCTCAACCTTTATTTGTCTTTTATGATATTGACATTTTTGAAGAATACAGGCCCCTCCCCTCTTTTCAGTAGAATGTTCCTTATTTTGTGTTTATCTCCTGTTTCCTTGGGATTAGATTGATGAAATGCACTCTCGGCTGGAACATACATAGATGAATATTGTGCAGTATTGCATCTGTGCAGTATTACAAAGATGTAGTATTGTATCTTTCTCAGGTTATGATGTCTGGAGGTACACAATGTCTATCTGCCCCTCATTGGTTGACCAATGCTAGTCAAAGTGTTGTCCAATTTCTCCACTGTATAATCACTGCTTTTTTTATTGTTATTAATTTATTTTTGCTGTGCTGGGTCTTCGTTTCTGTGCGAGGGCTTTCGCTAGTTGTGGCAAGCGGGGGCTACTCTTCATCGCGCTGCGCGGGCCTCTCACTATCGCGGCCTCTCTTGTTGCGGAGCACAGGTTCCAGACGCGCAGGCTCGGTAGTTGTGGCTCGCGGGCTCTAGAGTGCAGGCTCAGTAGTTGTGGCGCACGGGCCTAGCTGCTCTGCGGCATGTGGGATACTCCCAGACCAGGGCTCGAACCAGTGTCCCCTGCATTAGCAGGCAGATTCTCAACCACTGCACCACCAGGGAAGCCCTAATAACTGCTTTTTATTTTTTTGCTCCCCCAAACTCATAAGCAATCGGTAGGGAGACACCTTAAGACATGCAAATACTCTGGGGACTTCCCTGGTGGTCCAGTGGTTAAGATTCGACGCTCCCAGTGCAGGGGATCCAGGTTCGATCCCTGGTCAGGGAACTAGATGCCGCTGGCAGCAATGCAGGCAATGAAGATCCCTGTGCCGCAACGAAGACCCCACACAGCCAAACAAATAAATACATATTTCAAAAAAAAAAGATATGCAAATATCCTGCTCCTCATCAAAATTTCTTCCTAGCGTTAGCATCCACTGATGATTCTTTCCTGATCCAATCTTTGCCATGATAGTTGGAAAATGATTCATTTAAAGTTTAAAATTGTGTTTTTATGTATGTTTTTAACCTGGAATTGATTTTGTAGTGTGAGATAGGGATCAAATTCTACCTCCTCCCTCCCCCTCCTGTATGGCTAACTAATCAGCTCCATTTGTGGAAAAGCTGATAAGAAATGTCCACTCCTTCATAAACCAAATTTCCATTTTAGCTGGGTTTGTTTCAGTAGTCTCTATTCTGTCCAATTGGTTTATTTGTTTATCCCTGCACCGATACTACAGTGTTTTAATTATTATAGTTTTGTAATAAATTTTGATATATAGTACGGCAAGTATTCCATTATATTCTTCTTTAAAATTGTCTTCTCCATTTTTGTCTTCCTGGCAATTATATTCATTGTCACAGATAATTTCCACAACAATCTTGGGAGAGATTAAGAAACTTTCCCAAGGTCACAAGGCCAATAAGGAGGAATTTGAACCCAGGCCTGCCCAAGGTCAGAGTTCTTTCCATTTCTTCCTGGGGTTCTGCCTACCCAAAGCCAAAGGGATGCTTACCTAGGCATGGAGAAGTGGAGGTCAGAGAGTCAAGTGTGGGCAGGTGAGAGAAGGCAGGTATCAGACTGGGTTTGGGTTTGGTCTCTGGGTGTAGACTTTGCCAGCCAAGGGACTTGGTTCTGACTTGGCTGGCAGAACTGGAAACAAGATTGGAGGAAATGGGACCCCAGGACTGATCACCCACAGGTCTCCATGGGCACATCTTGCTGTTTCCCAGGCTGAGCAGGGTAATGTGGCAGCAGCCTGACAGGGGGACCTGCGGCTGCTTTTATGCTGGGGGTTATGGTGGGGGGCTTGGGACACAGGGAGGGGAAAGAATCTGGCTGGCTGCCTGGAAGCTAGGACAGAACCCACCCCAGGGAGCCCCATCCTCCACCAGCCCCTCCCTGCCTGCTTAAGAGACCCTAATCAGCTTGGGGAGATTAAGGGCTCTGGGCGGCTCTTCCCACACCCCCGCCCTGGGCCCTGGCAAAGGAGACCCGTGGGAGGGCGTCAGAAGGATCGGCCCTGTGACCCCGAGCCCCGGCTCTGGCCCGAGCCCCGGACTTTCCGGTGAGTGGCAGAGCCCCCTCCACACGGACTCCAGGTCCTTCCTGCCGGAAAGAGACCATGGAAGGGAATGGGAGTGTCCCCACTGACCCCTGACAGCTCTAAGAGGGGGAGAGGGGCAGACAAGGGGGAGCGGGAAGCAGAGCAAAACGGGGGGGAAAGGGGGTGCTTCCAGGCTATGCCCCTGACCCCATATAGTCGTCCAAGCCCGCGGAGGTGGGTGTGGAAGCATAGACAAGCCGTGGGTTAATTGGGCTTTGAGAACCTTGGGGGTTGCGGAGAGCCCTAAGAGAGCCCTGGGGGTCGCGTCCTCTCATGCTGCTCTGTTTATGCTCTCAGAAGCCGGCAATGACCGCCCGCGCCCTCCTCGCGGGTGGGCTTCGGGACCCCGGGCTCTGCGCCCCCACGCGGGAGACTCCGTCTCCGCCCGGCCTTCCCCGGACGCCGTCCCGGCCCCGGCCTCTGCTCCGGCCCCGGCCTCTGCTGCGCCCCCTGCTGCTGCTGCCGCTGCTGCTCCTGCCGCGCCCCGCCCTCTCCGCTGTGTTCACAGTTGGGGTGCTGGGCCCCTGGGCCTGCGACCCCATCTTCGCCCGTGCCCGCCCGGACCTGGCCGCCCGCCTGGCCGCCGCCCGCCTGAACCACGAAGCTGCCCTGGAGGACGGCCCCCGCTTCGAGGTCGCGCTGCTGCCCGAGCCGTGCCGGACGCCGGGCTCGCTGGGGGCGGTATCCTCCGCGCTCACCCGCGTCTCGGGCCTCGTGGGGCCGGTGAACCCCGCAGCCTGCCGGCCGGCGCAGCTACTAGCTCAAGAGGCGGGGATCGCCCTGGTTCCCTGGGGCTGCCCCGGAATGCGGGCGGCGGGCACCACGGCTCCCGCGGTGACGCCCGCGGCGGATGCGCTCTACGCCCTCCTGCGCGCGTTCCGCTGGGCGCACGTGGCCGTGGTCACCGCCCCCCAGGACCTGTGGGTGGAGGCGGGACGCGCACTTTCCACGGCGCTCAGGGCCCGGGGTCTGCCCGTTGCCCTGGTGACCTCTATGGAGCCCTCGGACCTGTCTGGAGCCCGGGAGGCCCTGAGGAGGGTCCAAGGTGGACCCAGAGTCAGAGGTAGGCTCCCCTGCAGGATGCGGGAGGGTCGGCCGTCCAGCGAGAAAAGGACAGAGCACCGAGCGGAGCCTCTTGTCCGCAGCAGTGATCATGGTGATGCACTCGGTCCTGCTGGGCGGTGAGGAGCAGCGCTGCCTGCTGGAGGCTGCAGAGGAGCTGGGCTTGGCTGATGGGTCCCTGGTCTTCCTGCCCTTCGACACGCTGCACTACGCCTTGTCTCCAGGCCCGGACGCCTTGGCCGTGCTCGCCAACAGCTCACAGCTTCGCAAGGCCCACGATGCTGTGCTCACCCTCACGCGTCACTGTCCCCCGGGAGGCAGCGTGCTGGACAGTCTGCGCAGGGCCCAAGAGCATCAGGAGCTGCCCCCTGACCTCAATCTGCAGCAGGTAGAGGGACCAGGGAGGAGGGAAGAGGGGAAGAGAGCAGAGAATAGCCAAAAAGGGGAGGTGGAGGCCGGAGGCAATGGGAAGAGAAGTGGATAGAGTCGATGGAATGAGAGGAGGATGCAGTCAATAGGAGGGAGTAGGAGGCCAGCAGGGAGAGAATAACCAGCAGCTCTGCATGTCCTGGGTGATGTAAAGGCTCTGGCCTTGCTTGGAGCAGCTTTGTGTATTGGAATTGCTTCCAGAGAGTTGGCAATGAGACCTCTCAAGGTCAGCTCCGAGGAGCAAACGCTAACAAACTCTGCACTGCAGCATCTTTTGCAGTCTACTTCAAAGTAAACCCACTTCCAACACGGCCATGACATACAGTCTGTATCAAACAACCGGTGTTCTTAAGAGAGCAGGAAGGAGGGAGAATACAGATCCAGCCTCCATGCCCAGTTCGGAGGTGTTTCCTCTGGGGCTTCACCTAGTGGTCTTAACTTTTTGAGAGCCTTACAACTTGTGAGAAGCAGAAAGGTCCCTAGGTGGAGCAAGGGCTTCTATAACCATCTAGAATCACAGCTTATTCCCATCAAGCAGCTAATATCCAGGATTCCCTGAGAACAGTGGTGAGATGGGATGGAGGACAGGTGGGGAAATAGAGGTGGGGGAAATGGTGGGGAAAACCCTCTTCAGTTCTCAGTAAGTAGCATAGCCTTTCACCTAGCTGCCCAAGTGAGACCCCTGGGAGTCACCCTTGATTCCTCTAACCCTTCCCCCAACATCCAGACACCAAGTTCTGTCACTTTTGCTTCCCAAAGGTCATTTGAATCCATCTACTTTCTCCATCCTCACTGTCACACCCCTGATTCAGGCCACAGCACCTCTGGTCCAAATCCCCAAATAAAATCTCCCAAGTGGTCTCTGCTTCACCACTTACCTACCCCAGGCCCTTCTCCACCCAGCGATCAGAGTGAACTTCAGAAATCTGACACATCTGACTGTGTCACGCCCCCATCCAAAGTCTCCCAGTGGCTTCTCTTGCCCTGGATAGATACAGGTCTCTTCACTTGGTTTATCAGGTCTCACGTCTTCCTCTCTCTTCCTTCTTTCTTGAACTTCAGCCAGACCGAGCTACTTTGGGTTCCCCAGATGTGACCTTCTCTTTTGCTTCTGTGCTACTGGGTGTACTGTTCCCTCTCTCCTGTCCCTACACTCCCCCAGATATTTCGGATTCGTCCCCTGAGGGATGGTCACTTCTGGAAGCCTCTTCCTCCTCCCCCAGCCTGGGCTGGGCATCTTTTCTGTCTCCTCAGCTCCCTCAGTTACCCCTCCCCTCACTCCTTACACTGCATTAACATCCCTGTCTGTCTCTCCCCACTAGAGGAAAGATTCCTCGAGATAGGGACTCTGTCTTGTACCGTGATATATCCCTAGTGCTCTACACAGTGCCTGGCGCTGTGAGAGATGGGAACTGGGAATAATAGAGAAGCTCCGTGAGATCAGGTGGTTGCCTTGGGGAAAAGAAAAGACCTAAAGATAGAAAATAGAAGCCAACCAAAAGACGAGAAAGAAGGCTTTCAATGAATGGTAGGTAATGATTTTAAAAATATATGCAGGGCAACCAAAAGGAGAGGGAAGAGAGGTGATGTAGGTATTGGAGTTAGAAGTCACAAGTGATAAGAAGAGCGTAAGAATACTGAAAAGAGGAAAGGGCAGTGGTAAAAAGGGGTGGGATAGACAATTGGGGAGAGAGGAAGAGAGAGCCAATGAGGAGAGATATGGAACCACTAACTAGGAGGTGTGAACAGTCAAAACACACAGGGCTTGAAGGACTCGAAGGGCCCAATGAAAGGATAAGTGGAGACAGTAAGTCCCCGTCTATTTACGGGCCGTGACCCCGAAACCTGAACCCCCTACCCTTCCTCCCCAGGTATCCCCTCTCTTCGGCACCATCTATGACTCGGTCTTCTTGTTGGCCGGGGGCGTGGCGCGAGCGCGGGCGGCCGCAGGTGGCGGCTGGGTGTCCGGAGCAGCCGTGGCCCGCCACGTCCGGGATGCCCAGGTCCCCGGCTTCTGTGGGGCCCTGGGAGGAGCCGAGGAGCCCTCCTTTGTGCTGCTGGACACGGATGCAGCTGGGGACCGGCTGTTCACCACATACGTGCTGAACCCCACCCGGGGCTTCTTCCGCTCCGCCGGAACCCCGGTGCATTTTCCTAGAGGGGGACGGGGGCCTGGGCCCGACCCCTCGTGTTGGTTCGACCCAGACGTCATCTGCAACGGAGGTGAGGGCGAACATCCCAGCCCACACTGGGACAGTGACCATGAACCCTCCACAAAGTGGTGAAAGAGAGTGAACTCTCATCCTGTAACTCCTGTTGGAGGCCCTTCCAGGTCCTCCTCAGAGACCCCTGTCTTGCCGAGCCCCTGGAGCCCTCTTGGAACCTTTCTAGCATTCCCAGACCACCCCCCGCCCCGCCCTTTGCAGGACCCCATGACCTTTCCCTAGATCCTGTTATGGGCTCCCATCCCCCTTTTCTGGAGCCTCCAAGATTTGACGTGACCGCATTCTTCCCTAGAGAGCAGCGGTCCCTAACCTTTTTGGCAGCAGGGACCTGTTTCGTGGACGACAGTTTTTCCACGGACAGGGGCGGGGCGGGGGGGTATTCAGGCGGTGATGCCAGCTATGGGCAGCGGCAGATGAAGCTTGGCTCACTCACGCCGCTCACCTCCTGCTGTGCGGCCGGGTTCCTAACAGGCTGCGCGGACAAGCAGCGGTCTGCGGCCCGGGGGCTGGGGACCTCTGCTAGAGAGGATGCCTCCCCTCTGCTACAGTCCTCAGCATCTCTCCTCTCACTGCCCCTCCAGGGGTGGAGCCCGGCGTCGTCTTTCTCGGCTTCCTCCTGGTGGTTTTGATGGGGCTGACAGGGGCCTTCCTGGCCCATTATTTTAGGTGAGTAGGGTAAGTAGGAGAGGAGCTTGGCTCTCCACCTGCCAGAAATGCAACTGTGCAGCAGGCTGGGCCCACTCAAGAGTAGAAGGAGGGAGGATGTCTTTTGGAGAGGGGGAGAAGGAAGGAGTCTTGGAGGGCTGGCAGAGTCCCAGGGAGGGGGTCTGGTTTGCGGATGACTGCCCTCCCCTGAGCCAGCATTTTCCCCCACTGGCTTCCTCTCATGGACCTTGGTCCCCTTTGCGAAGATGACCTCCTTTCTCTACCAGGCACCGGCTACTTCACATCCAAATGGTCTCCGGCCCCAACAAGATCATCCTGACTCTGGATGACGTCACCTTCCTCCCCCCGCAGAGGAGCAGCTCTCGGAAGGTAGGGGAGGAGGGGAGCCAGGACCCAGCTGTCCTCCCCTATATGTTCGGTCCCCTGCCTGGGCCAGCCCTCACCCCAGCCCCCACCTGGGAAGGCCTGGTTTCTGCCTTCGCTCCATCCCAGGTCTGAGTGCTGGGATCAACGCCCTCATGTGTGCAATGAGGATAACAGCCCCTGTCCTGACCGCTTTCCTTGGATAGGGTGAAGCTCCAACAGAAAATGAATGTGTTTGTTTTGTAAGCTCTGAAGTGTCGTGTACTTGGGAAGTAATGTCATTATCACCTGCCCGAACTAAGATTTCTTCCCTTCCCCTCTTTAATCCCCAGATTTAAGCCTGACCTCAACCCAGGACTCTGACCCCATGGTATATTTTGACCCCATGCACTGACCTCTACCCTCCAGGTGGCCCAGGGGAGTCGATGGAGTCTGGCCGCCCGCAGCTTGTCAGACGTTCGCAGCATCCACAGCCAGAGCCCGGATTACACCAACATTGGCCTCTATGAGGTGAGCCTGAGACCTGGGCAGGCCAGGCTCCGTTCCTGGATTCCTGGAGTTGCGTCGTATCTTGCAGAGTCCAGGAAATGGGAATAGGAGCCCAGAATGGGAACTAGGGAGAGTTCATGGATTCCTCCTCAAAGGGGAGCATCTGGGAATCCTTCCTGCTGGGGGATTTTCCCTTAGCCATTATCCGGGTGAGGGCTCTTCAAAGGCTAATCACAGTGGCCTAAAGACTAGAGGCCTGATGGTGGGGAGTTTGATGGGACCAGCATGTAGCCTGAAGAGGCCACTGAGGTCATCGTCCTCCCCCTCAGTGCTCCAAGCCTTTGGGTTACTGAAGGGCACAGGCCTCCCTGGAGAGATTGAGACAGAGGTTCATCTGGGAAGTGATCTCATGGTCACAAAGAGGACTTTTCCAGGATTGGATTGTTCAGGAAGGGGCTTCCAGACTGAGCTAATCTCTGACGCAAGCCAGACCCATGTCTTGGCCCCACCCAGCACTTCTACCCCAATCAGATCACACTCTGGAGCAGCAAGACTTAGAGGGGAAAAAGAAAGTCACAAAAGGGCATTAGGACATTAACCACGGGGTCAGCAGATCTGAATGTGGTGGGATGGGTGGGAGATAATGAGAACAGATTCAGAGAGCGCTGGGAGAGAGCTCCACTAATGAAGAGGGAGTGGAGATGTAGAGCTCTTGGGTGTCATGTCGTGGAGAGAATGCAGAGACTCCTAGTATGTCACCTAGAGGCCATTGCAGCCATTTCCCAGTAGAACACTATTGTCGTTTGGGGCAGGACCCTATGCCTTGAAGAATGTTTAGCGCCACTTGTCTCTGACTCTGTCCACTGATCACAGCCCCCAGTTTTTGTGACAATTAAAAATGTCTCCACATTTATTTCCAAATCTTCTTTAGGGGTCAGTACCAAACCCCCAGAATTCCCTCCTAGTCCAAATCCTTTATCAACAGGCAAGGCCAACTACATAATCTGCAAGGTCTAGGGCAAAATAAAAATGAGGTGCCCTTTGTTCATTCAGGATGACAGCAGCAGATCACTGAGCCAAGCTCAGGCCCTTCTGAGCACGAGGCCCTGGGGGACTGCATGGGTCGCACGCCCATGAACTGGCCCTGCGGACAGCTGAGGACAGTGAGGCCCAGAGCCTGCAGGGGAGCTGTCTATCCTTCACCGTTAGTCTGTAATAACGCGTGATCTACCCAGACTCCTTGACGCCCACCACAGTGCTCTCTTATGGCAGCGGGTGGTGATGAGGGCTGTGATTTCAATGACACTTGTGGTGGTGATGGCTCACTTAATAGGGCTGTTGGTGAGCGCATCTGGCGTGGTGAGGACAGCCTCTGCGTCTCTCTTTCCCACGGGCGGGCTCTCACGCAGCTGGCTGTGAAGTGGGCTGGCAGACGTTATACCCCTTGTTCCTGAAGCTCTTTGTCACATGGAAGATGGGTTCTGGGGCAGGGAGCCAAGGGAAACACGGGGGCTCTCTACGGCTCCTCACATCATGGGGTTTTGAGAAACCGAGTTCCCTACTCCTGTCTCTGCTCCAGGGAGACTGGGTTTGGCTGAAGAAATTCCCGGGGGAACAGCACATAGCTATCCGCCCAGCGACCAAGATGGCCTTCTCCAAGGTGAGAGTGGGCCTGTGATGGGGTGTGAGGTGGCCATCGTTTCCTCCCTCCTTGCCTTCTCTTTGCAGCTGAGTCCAAGTAGACCCCACTGTGGCAGGGACGACGAAGAGCTCTCAGTGAAGTGTCCCCTCCTCTCTAAAGCAGGTTTCTTATCATGCTCTCCTATAACACTAGTTCTTTCCTTGGAGGTGTTGATCATAATTTGTAATTGTTCACCTGTGTGTGCTTGCTTATTTCTTATCTGCCTCCCTCCCTGCACTGTAAGCTGAGTGAGGGCTTTTCCCCTTCCCCCTCCATTGTATTAATATTTCCAGCACCCAGCACAGTGTCTGGAACATTAGAGACATCCAGTGAATGTTTGTTGAGTGAATGCTAGAAAATGAATGGGTTTCCAGTTCTGTCAGGCTGCTTGCACAGAATGGCCTAGTTGGTGCATACTGAGTGACGTGGAAAGTTGGCAAGGAGGCTATAAACTGGCTTATTCTGGTCATTCCAACCTTAGTGCCCCCCTTACCCCTAACACCATACAGCCCTGGCCTGGCCTCCTTCCCGGATGCCTCCACAGAAGCTCTTGGTCACAGCTGCAGAATGACTTAAGTCATTAAGTGGGCTACCAGTTGTCAACGGACTAAATCACCGTTTAACAACAGGCATTAAGTTGAAAAGAAGCCCCTTGTTGGACCAAAGAAAAACTAGAAAGGGCACCAGTCACCCACTAGCCCTCATTTTCCCAGCCAGACTGCGAGGGCCTCTGTCCCACCGAGTGGGTGTGGCCTTGTTGCTGGCTCCTCTGGGACACAGCTCAACTAGTTAGTCCTTCTTCCTTAACGTCGCGGGGGGCAGGGCGGGGGGGGGGGGGTGCCTCTATCTGGCACAATGATGTAACAAGCAAAGCAGCCCTGGGCTGAGTCACCAGCATAAGCCACTTCTGGTGATTTTTGAAAGCACTGCAGTGTCTGCCTGATTCTCCCCCCAAGGGACGGTTATATCAGAAGTTGGGGGTGGGGGGCGGTGAGTACCAGGAGCTTTTCCTTCATGAGGTGTTTTCCCTTAAGACCCAGGAAGTTCAAAGTCTTATGGTTAATAAATCAGAAACTGCCTGGGTCCTGATTTGCCAGCGCAAAATTGTCTTTTCATTCATAACTTTAAGTTAACACCACGTTCAGCGTCTGCACGGTGGCCTTTGACTGTGTTGTCTTTCCTAGAGAGAGAAGGTATCTGTAGAAGGAAGCCCCGACATGCCCTATAGACCTCTGCACTCACCATTTTTACCCCATCCTCCAATCAAAAACAGACCTGAAGAACAGCCTCCTCCCCACCTCGCTCCCAAAACAGCAAATGCCTGTTAATTCCCACCCCCTCCCCCAGATCCGGGAGCTCCGGCATGAGAACGTGGCCCTCTACCTGGGGCTCTTCCTGGCCGGGGGAGCTGGCGGTGCCGCGGCCCCCGGGGAAGGGATGCTGGCTGTGGTCTCAGAGCACTGTGCCCGTGGCTCCCTCCAAGACCTCCTCGCTCAGAGAGACATAAAGCTGGACTGGATGTTCAAGTCCTCCCTCCTACTGGACCTCATCAAGGTGTGCGTGTCGGGGTGGGACCGGGTGGGCTGCGGCGGGGAGGAGCCGGCGGGGGGAACCGCGTGGGCTGAGGCTGCCCCTGACGCCACTCCTTCCAGGGAATAAGGTATCTGCACCATCGAGGCGTGGCCCACGGGCGGCTGAAGTCACGGAACTGCGTGGTGGACGGGAGGTTCGTGCTTAAAGTCACCGACCACGGTCATGGGCGACTGCTGGAAGCGCAGAGGGTGTTACCGGAGCCTCCCAGCGCGGAGGGTAGGATTCCCCGGCTGCCTCCCGGGCGGCCGAGCAGCCCCCGCATCCCCGTTGTTTCAAGGCCCTCTCCTTTCCTCCTTCCCTCGCACTCTCTCCATCCCACACCCACCGGACGGGACTCCTGCCGCGGAGGAGGTCTTGTGACCTCTGAGATGAAGGGGGTCAGGCTCCGTGACTGGGGAGGCGGGGAGTCGTTAGGGGGCGGGACGTGTGCCTGAGGGGCGGAGCTCCTGCCCTTTGGGGGTGGGGTCTGCTTCTAGTGGGGCTTTGCCTAAGGGCGGGGCTTGTGCCCAAGGGACCTAGTCTGCTCTCGGCACCGCTTTGTCTAAAGGGCGGGTCCTATTTGTGAGGGCCCGGCTTTCTGAGACCTGCTCTGGGTTTCTGGTAGTTTCTCCTGGGGATCACTGCAGGCAGCAGGGCCAGACTGAGGCTGGGGAGTTGAGCGGGTGCGAGCCTGGGCTTTCTGGTGAGGGTGTGGGGGGGTCTGTCCCTAGCGCCTCTATGGCCCTCCGTGTGCCCACGCCCCCTTCCCCGACCCCAGACCAGCTATGGACAGCCCCGGAGCTGCTTCGGGACCCGGCCCTGGAGCGCCGGGGAACGCTGGCCGGCGACGTCTTCAGTCTGGGCATCATCATGCAAGAGGTCGTGTGCCGCAGCGCCCCTTACGCCATGCTGGAGCTGACTCCCGAGGGTACGGCCGCCCTCGCCTGGCCTTTGGACTAGAAAGACACCCTGCTGTTAGGCAGAGACCCAGCCTCGCTCGGTGCTGAGACTTAACTTATGTGGGACTCCCTAGAGCTGAGTTCTGAAGGGTCAGGGCTGTAGAGAGCCAAGCATCAGGATGGGAGGGGCGGCCAGCACCCAGACGTCAGTGGTTTCCTCTGTCCCGACCCTGGACCCAGCCTGCTGCCCCAACGGTGGTAGCAAGCTCCTCTCTGGTTCTTAGGGGCCCCAGGGAGGCAGCACCATAGGGGGAAGGGGGAAACAGAGCAGACGGATCTGGTTCAGATCTATATTATCACGTGTAGGATACAGCATGCTACTCGATCACTCTAACCCTCACTTGTCTTATGTGCAATAAATGTCAGTCTCTTTGCCTGGCCCCTCCTACTGCCCCCTGGCCCCCAGGGTTCAGGGTCCTGTTGCTCCCAGCAACACCTCCCACACTACACTTCCCCACCTACTGAAGCTTCCCCTTCCAGCCCCCTCCTCTTGAGCTTCAACAATCAGGCCAGAGTCAGAGGTGGCTTCTGTTCCGGCACACCCCCTCTCTTGTTCCCTTCATGCCTCCAGAAGTGGTGAAGAGGGTACAGAGCCCCCCTCCGCTGTGTCGGCCCTCGGTGTCCATGGACCAGGCGCCCATGGAGTGCATCCAGCTGATGAAACAGTGCTGGGCAGAGCAGCCGGAACTTCGGCCCTCCATGGACCGCACCTTCGAGCTGGTCAGGGGCTGGGCTGGGCAAGGACTGGGCTGGCCGTTTGCCAACAACTTGGGGTTGGGGAGGGGAGGCTGCAGGAAGGCAAGCTGGCAGATCTCTGACCTTCCAGGCTACTTCCTAAGGGGTCGTCTGAGGATTAAGCGTTTGGTGGGGACAGAATTAGAATGGGGGCTGTGGAGGCCTTTGGAGTGGAAGATGGATCTCTGGGCGGGAGAAATATTTAATTCAATTCAAATGACATTTATTGAGTATGTGTTTGGCCTAGTGAGGGAGAAGGACCCTTGGCCTGGGAGTCCAAAGACTGGGCTGGTTCCAGCGCCTTGTCAGTTGCTAACAGAACAGGTGACCTCCTAATAACGTGTGAAAACACAGTGCCCAGCACAGGGCAGCACGGGCTTGATGGGTATAGATGAAAGGGGGTGGGGGCGGAGGATCAGGAATAATACAGCCCCATGAGAGGGGCATGGCAGGCCAGGTCCTCAGCAGCCCCACCAGCTTCCTCTTCCTACTAGTTCAAGAGCATCAACAAGGGCCGGAAGATGAACATCATTGACTCGATGCTGCGGATGCTGGAGCAGTACTCCAGCAACCTGGAGGACCTGATCCGGGAGCGCACTGAGGAGCTGGAGCTGGAAAAGCAGAAGACAGACCGGCTGCTCACACAGATGCTGCCTCCGTGGGTGCCTATGGGGAGAGGTGGGTGGGGAGGCCAGCTGGAATCCAGCCAGACTGGGGTGGCCTCCAGGTGAGCTCACCACCTGCCATCCCCAGGTCTGTGGCTGAGGCGCTGAAGATGGGGACACCTGTGGAGCCCGAGTATTTCGAGGAGGTGACACTGTACTTCAGTGACATTGTGGGTTTCACCACCATCTCAGCCATGAGTGAGCCCATCGAAGTGGTGGACCTGCTCAATGACCTCTACACGCTCTTTGACGCCATCATCGGCTCCCATGATGTCTACAAGGTGGGGTGTGTAGGGGGCAAGCCCTCCTTCAGCTTCTGCGGCCCCCGGCCCCCTGCCCGAGGTCACCAGCACGATCCTCTTTCCCAGCCCTCCTGTCCCTTTTCTCCCCTGCCGGTCCCCAGCTCAGTCCCCCAGCTGGAAGGCTCCCCAGAATCTCTGCACTCACCCCAGTTTAGGCCTCCCGACAAGGGACATTGGCATTGGCGGGGTGCTCAGTACTGAATTCTCTCCGCAGGTGGAGACAATCGGGGACGCCTATATGGTGGCCTCAGGGCTGCCCCAACGGAACGGGCAGCGGCATGCAGCAGAGATCGCCAACATGGCTCTGGACATCCTCAGTGCCGTGGGCACCTTCCGCATGCGGCACATGCCCGAGGTGCCCGTGCGCATCCGCATCGGCCTGCACTCGGGTAACTCCGCGCCTTCCCGGGCTCTCCAGCCCATCTCCCTCGTTAGGGCCGGGCTCCAGGTTTCCTAGATGGGAGGCAAACTCGTGGAGTGGGTGGGGGCGGGGACTTGTCTTGAAGCCACCTTTTAACAGCAGGCACCGCACTGTAATTGGGAGGGTACGCTTGAGAGGGTTTCTTTGGGAAGCCAGTGGAGATTATGCAGTGCTAAAGGCCCCCTGGAGCCCTAGATGCCACCCAGCCGCCAGCAGGCCAGCTTCAGCGCAGGCCAGCCAGCCCACCGACGCAGCGTGTCTCCACAGGCCCGTGCGTGGCGGGCGTGGTGGGCCTCACCATGCCGCGGTACTGCCTGTTTGGGGACACGGTCAACACCGCCTCGCGCATGGAGTCCACCGGGCTGCGTGAGTGTGACGGGGCGGGAGGGGCGGGGAGGGGGCGCGGGAGGGGTGTCCTGAGCTCATGGTGTCCTCTGAGCTCACGGTGTCCCCTGCCGTCCCAGCTTACCGCATCCACGTGAACCGGAGCACCGTGGAGATTCTCTGCGCCCTAAACGAGGGCTTCCAGACCGAGGTGCGGGGTCGCACGGAGCTGAAGGTGAGGCCGGGCTGGAAGACACAACTCGCCACGCCCGGTTCCACTGAGACCTCGAGATCCACCGGCCCTCACCTCAGTCCGCCTGAGTCCTTCCCTCCCCCGTGTCTCCCCAGGGCAAGGGCTGCGAGGAAACGTACTGGCTGGTGGGCAGACGCGGCTTCGACAAGCCCATCCCCAAACCGCCTGACCTGCAACCGGGGTGAGGATCCGGCCTTCACGCGCCATGACCGACTTGGTCCCTCCATGCCCTCCCTCCCCTCCTGCCCTGCACTGGACCCTACCCTCCTACTGCCTATCCTCCCTCCATGAGGCCGCCCCTCCCTTCGCCACAGGGCCAGCAACCACGGCATCAGCTTGCAGAGTATCCCGCCTGAGCGGCGCCAGAAGCTGGAGAAGGCGAGGCCGGGCCAGTTTTCCGGAAAGTGAGGCTGGGCCTGGGACAAGGTACTACCCCCTTGGCTCCCACGCCCCACAGACCCCGGGGGCTACACACATGCTTCCTGGAGGACGGGCACCTCTTCCCCAGCCTGAGGACCTAGCCCTGCCTGCCTGCAGAACGTCCCACTCAAGCCAGGTGTCCCCATCCTTCTCTGACTTGGTGAGCCCAGGCTGGTTCCTAAACCCAGGGATTTCCCAGCCACAGGGACCCTGGTTCGGTAGGTCTGGAGTGGGCCAGGAGTCCAGACTCGAGAATGACTCTCCCCTACTGAGGTGAACCCCCGTGACCCCTTTCCATGGTTTCCCTCTGAAACACTCCTCTCTCCCTCAGGATTATTCCAGAAGGTCCTTTTCCTGAAAGTTGCTGCTGTAGGTGACCAAAAGTCTGGCTAATACCAGTGGCTTCCGTCCAGCTCTGCCTCAAAGGATTCTGAGCCTTTGCAAGAGCTGGTTGCAAACCAGCTGTGTGACCCTGGGAAAGTCTCATGCACTCTCTGGGCTTGGTTTCCCCTCCGTGGTAAAATGAAGAGTGGCCTACCTAGGTGGTTTCCATACCCTCCGGCCCTGACAGCTGGCCTTCAGAATGGTTGGCCTTGGGGTACAGGGCACTGGGCACGTGGCCTCCAGCCCCAGTGACCCTGAGCCCATCAGAAAGGCCCCAGGAAGGAGGATCTGGGATTGGATGCCCCAACCCCAGAGGAGGTGGAGACCACCTATTCCACCAGAGCAGGGGTGTCGTGTGGCCTGAGGATTTGAGGGCTTCTCCATCCCCCTCCTTCTTCTGTGGCATAACCACATACTTTGCCCAAGTGCAGAGAAAAGCTTGTTGCAAAGCTTTGGGGAAACGAAGGTAAACAAACTCCATAAAACCTCTCCTAACCAGAACACCCAGGAATAGTAGTATTCTCTGTTTAACCGGGCGCCGCTGAGCAGGCAGTTGAACAGAAAATCCTCCCAGCTTAGATCTTTGCGACAAGTATCAACCCCTCCCATCCCAGTAAGTCCCCAGGTAAAGCTTCTTTTGTGGAACTCTGATGTCCCAGAGCCTGAGCCTTGGCATATTGGACTCTGGGTGGCCTTCGCCATTGCTGCAGAACCTGGCAGAAGTTAGCAGCAGCTGTAGCCAACGCAGGCTGTCACTAGGTGGTGAGCCTCCAGTCCCTGGAGATGTGCAAGCAGAACTGGAGACCTCTTTGAGCAGGGAGAGAACGGTCAGAGGGACTTCCTAGGCGGAAGGATGAACTAAATCCTCACCACACAGTGTGGTAGGTAGGCCAGCAGCAGCGACATCGCCTGGGAGCTTGTTAGCAACGCAGAATCTCAGGCCCAGGCGTATTGCAACAGAATCTACACCCTAACAGAGTTCCTTCAGAGTATTTCTATGCACGTTAAAGTTTCTGAGTCAGAGAACTAAAGGATCCTAGGATCCCTAAAATCTCAGAACTGCTAAGATTTCATAAAAACCAGCCTAGAAACTAGCCCTGAGACTTGTTTCGTTTGATCAATGAAGTGGTTTTGTTTTTGTTTTGAGCTAACATTTAGAAATCAAGAGGTACCACATTGTAAACATGGCTGCCAAATTTCCCTCTTCTCTGAAATCAAAGCCCCGCAGGGGCGATTGCTGACTTCCTGCTGGAGCGAAAGAGCAACCGTCCCCACGTCCCGTCTCTCCAGGGTTTCGCTTTTCTGTTCTCACCACGGGGAGTGGAGTGCCCACCACTCCCCGTGGACTCCGAGACACCAAGATTTTCTGAACATCTCTTATGTACCTGTCCAGAGCCTGTAGACGTTAGACCTCAGGACTCTGGAGTAGCTGATGTTAGGATTACAGGCACTGCTGGAGATCGCTTTGCCTGGCTCGTAAAGTCCACAAGTTCAATGGTCTGCCCCTCCTTCCTAAAGGTAGAGGAAGAACAGACAAGATACCTAGAATCCAGCACTTGTAGGTTCTGGTTACTAAGGTGGTGCTGCTATAGTGAGTAATATAGTATAATTTAAAGAACATTTTTAACCGAGTTCAGAGATGATGAATTAAAGATTTTTTTAAAAACCCTGATGCACACACACACAAGATATTTTTTAAATTATGTACATTCTTAAACATCTCTCTTCAGATTTTCTCTGTACTTAGGCCCCAGGAATCAAGGGCAGGCTCGGAGCTTCGGGAAAGAATTGGCCTGGGATTAGGTGCAGGAGGATTAGTGTGGACAGGCTGGGGCAAGGCACCCCCAGAGGGGGAGGAGTATGACCTGGGGCCCAAACCCAGTTTGGGGCAGAGGCGGGGCGGGCAGGGCTGAGTGGATCCCTTCCCACCCTCAACTCAGCCTTGTTCCTGGGACTCAGTCTCAAAGGCAAGTGACAGGGGGGAGGAGCTGGTAAAGGAGAGGCCTGTCCTCCTCCCCAGCCAGGAGAACGCAGGACCACCCGCCCCAGAGAGCTGGTGGGAGAAGAGGAGGGAAACAGCTAAGCCCCAGTCTCCTTTCTGCCCTTAGTCTCCTCTCTCTGCCGGGCAGTTTCTCCTTGCCTTTCTCCTCCATTTCCGTGGAACCTTTTCTCCTGGGCCCAGTCAGTCTCCTAGAGCCCAGCTGCCCTCAGACCCAAGTCCTCTCCACCTGGTCACCCCTCTTGTTCCGGGGACCCGGGCAATTCCCAGCCCAGAGAGCACCCAGCTTGGCCACTAGGCACCCCTCACCCTCAGACGTGTTTACACTACCTCGGCCAGCTGGCCTGTGCCAGGAGCCCACGCTCGGGGTGGCCTTGCCTTCGGGATGGCTCTGTCGCCAGGAGCAGCGCTGGCCGAAGCAGGGACCTCCCGCAGCTCTGCTGCTGCTTCCATCCCATAGCCGGGACGCCGCACCCTGACCCAGGGCTCACCTGGCCCCTTTGTCTGTGCTGCTCCTCAGGGTCGGGGCCCTGCTCCCCATCCCCACCTGCAGTGGACCCCCGACACCCCCCTTTGGGGGACCTGTGACACTGCGTTGTGGGACCGCGTTCACCGAGATCTGGACTGTGCGCTGTGGACACCAGGCCATGTGCCGTGGTGCTGGGTCCTGGCAGGGTGGGGGCTGGAATAAAGGTGTGCTTTCTTCCAGTCCACGCTATGTGGTCCTTTTGGCCTGGGTGGCCCGAACACCCCCATCCCCGGAGGGCTCGAACCTGGCATCGCCATGGAGGGCTTCAGATAAGGGGTGAACCTTAGAGATGACCCAGGCAGGGGGAGATGAACTGGGGTCAGCAACCCCCCCCCCAGAAACCCCTCTGCTCAGGGGATCTGCTCTGAGGGAACCAAGCAGGGAAGCTACAGGCCTTTCAGGCTTCTAGAAAAGACCAGGGTCTCTGAGGCTCTGGAAATGGGTGGTGTGGCCTCATCCCTTGGTCATAGGAAGGAGAGAGGAAGGAAAAGAAGAGCAGAGCTTGTCTACGGCCAGGACCCAGGAACCGTGGAGGCCAGAGTCCGATTCTGAGGGAAGGGGGCCCCCAAATGGGGAAGTTGAGGTCCACTGATCTCTGGACAAGACCTCACCAAAACCCACACTCTACCTCCGACCCTTCCAGAGCCTACCACTGGCACATTAGAACAGGAGAGAACATCCCAAAGCCACCCATGGGTGACCAGCCCATTGGTCATCTATTTTCTTTGAGCCCAGCTATCCCGGCCCCAGGCTCAATGTTTCTGACATGATGACTCGTGATGGACGTCGGGTGTTCTGCCTTCCTAGCAACCGTCTGCTCCATGATGGGCAACCATCCCTGCCCCACTCTCAGTCCCTGTGGAACTGACCCCAGACCTCCCTCCAGTCCTGCCCAATCGCTCCATCCCTCTGGCCACAGGGATTGCTTCAAGGACAGGCAGGTGACCCAGTCGAAGCAAACAAGGCTTCGTGCTGAGACATTGCTAGAAGCCAAGGGCAGAAGTTGCATCTCTTCTCTGGGGTTGCTGAGAGGATGTGACTCTGAGTGGTTTTGCCACCACAAAGAAGGAGCAGAACCGACAGATGGGCAGTGACTAAGTCCTGCTGCCACTTGTTTGAGCCTCTACCCTTCACTAGGCTTAACCAGTTCCTGCTAGTCCAGTACGATGGGATAGCAAGTTGTTTTCTTTGCTTAAGCCAGATTGAATCAGGTATTCTGTTCTTTGCAGTCAAAAGTGTCTCAAAAGGATTGTGGGAAGCAGTGGGGGTTGGACCGGTTTAAGAGGAAAGAAAAGGAGATAAACACTGAATTTGGAGGGAGGAGGGAGTGAAGGATGAATGACAAGAGATGATGTCTCTCTCTAAGCCTCAACTCCACCGAGAGTCAGGCCGGGCCCTTCCCTGCAGTATGACTGTTCCTGAAATTCCATTTACGGGGGAACCTAACCCACGCAGAGGTTAGGACCTTGTGAGAGGAAAGGCGCACAGCCTGGTAGCCTTGTCGGGACTCTCGTGCTGACTCAGCATTTAGAAGGTGGAGGAATCTTTCAGGTCCTGCCCCAGAGGAGACGATGCAAAGGAGAGTGAAGTGATGTCTCTAAGATCAGCGCATCTCGCTTGTCAACATCCTCGTGAGTTAGTGACTAGACTTTGACAAGGAGATTAGGGTGGGACAGGCGGCTTGCCCTGCTCCCAGAGGGGGAAGGGAGCAGAGAAATTGGGGAGAAGGACAACTGCGATGTCTGGAAAACCCAGGTTCCCACAGAGAGGAGCTTGTTTGTCACAGTCTAGAGACTCGTGCATCCAAACTAAAGCCATTTTGTCACCTCCACCAGGGACATTGCACTTTACCACCCACCCCTGCGTCTGGGTCTCTGGTCCTGGACCCAGAGAAGGGCATGCCACACTGGTACTTACCCATTCTGTCACAGGGAACATCGATCCCATCACCTAAAAAGCACGTCCCCATATACGACCCCTAATCCTCACACAACCCATTTGACACACATGGAAACTGAGGCTCCCAGTGGTGAAAAGCCTTGTCGATCACCGCAGTTGCAGCAAATCTTGGGATCAGGAAGCACACCCAGGAGTTCAGGCTCTGGGCCTTGGGGTGCCTCTCAGCGATGCTCTGGAGATGTTTCTCTCACAGGCAGCCCTGCTTTGTGACCCCTTGATTCTTTTCTGCAAGAGCACGACTTAAACTCCAAGCCAATGTCTGTGTAATCAGATTCTTAAAGACTTTTGACTTGGTGGGATATGAACATGAACCCATTTTACATTTCTCCAACCAGTACCTTCCAAAGTCCAGTCCAGTTGAAAACTCCCATTTCCTAATCTGCTCTGAAAGTCTGTTCCTCACCACGCCGGTCAGGGCCCTGATGGGGAGGGGGGGTGGTGTAGTGGGGGAGGAGGGAAGGAGCAGGCCTGCTCCTTCCCTCCTCCGCCAACTCTGGCTTCTCCATCAGGAGAGGAGGGACATAGGGGCATCATTTGATCCTGGGACCCCCACCCCCTCATTCTTCAAAGGAGGAATACAGCGGCAGCTTAACTGGTTGCCGGATCAGGAAAATTCCCCTGGTCTCACTTTGGCTCAGCAGCTGCTGGTGCTGGCTGGAGATGCCGTCCTCTCTACCTGTGCAGAGGCGATTTCACTGCAAAGCTGATGAAGGTGAAACTTCACAATCTCTCACCCGCACAAGTTCCTTCCAAGCCTCGCTACCCAATTGTCTATTCTTTTTCTTAAAGAGGGCCTTCAAAGTTGGATAAGCTTGGGAATTCCCTGGTGGTCCAGTGGTTAGGACTCTGTGCTTTCACTGCCGGGGGCCCAGGTTCGATCCCTGGTCGGGGAACTAAGATCCCGCGAGCCACGCAGCCCGGCCAAAAACAAACAAACAAACAAAAAAAGGTTGGATGAGCTGAGGGTCCCCACAACATTTGGATCCATCCTGGGTGTAGTCCCCTGGGGGTTGGGGAGTAGCTTCCCCAGCCTTCTTCATCACCGAAGGCAGAAAGCAGCAGCTGGGACTTCCCTGGCGGTCCAGTGGTTAAGACTTCGCCTTCTAATGCAGGGGATGCGGGTTCGATCCCTGGTCGGGGAGCTAAGATCCCACATGCCTTGGCCAAAAAACCGAAACATAAAACGGAAGCAATGCTGTAACAAATTCAATAAAGACGAGGCTACCCTGGTGGCGCAGTGGTCAAGAATCTGCCAGCCAGTGCAGGGGACACGGGTTTGAGCCCTGGTCCGGGAAGATCCCACAGGCCGTGGAGCAACTAAGCCCGTGCGCCACAACTACTGAGCCTGCAAGCCACAACCACTGAAGCCCATGCGCCTAGAGCCCATGCTCCGCAACAAGAGAAGCCACCGCAATGGGAAGCCGGCGCACCTCAACGAAGAGTAACCCCCACTCACCGCAACTAGAGGAAGCCCGCGCGCAGCAACGAAGACACAACGCAGCCAAAAGTAAATAAACAAATACATTTTTTAAAAAGAGAGAGAGAGTTTTAGTGTAGTTTATCATGCAGCAATGGATAACCAGAACAAGCTCTCCATTTCAGAAGACCTCTAAACCTTGGTTGAGAGTTTTGAAAAACTCAGGTCAGCGATCCGCTGACAGAAGGTTTCTGAGAGGGACTTCTCCCAGAAAAGGTAGAATAAACACATTTTTTTTTTTTTTTTTTTTTTGCCTATTTCTTCCCACATCTAAAATTCCTTTGGGGATCCACCCATCTCCACCCTCAATCCATATAGTTTGTATGGGACTAATTCCAGCCCCAGCTTCAGAGTCTGTGACCAAGGCCAGTTCAGTGAGGGTCAGCCCCAGAACATCTGCAGTAAGCGGGTGACATCGTCTTTGTGCTAGGGTTGCTAAGCTGGAAGGATAGAAGCCCAGAGCTGCTGGTTATCATTTCTGCTACCACTTGGGAAAAGTCTGCCTGAGAATGAGCTAACACAGTTCAACACAGAAGAAAGCAGAAATGAAACATTGAGGAAGCACAATTCCTGACACATGTTCTGGGCACCTGGATCCATCCAGGCCTGAAGCCATTACTCCTGAATTTTCCAGTTACATAAACCAATATGTTCCCATATTTTATCGGGCTGGTTTGAGTTTAGATTATCCTGTTTGTTCATCTCTGCCTATTAAAATTGTATCAGTTTTTCATCACTAGTTTAAAACTCACCACCTATGAGAAGCTTTCCTTGAATTATTTAGGGGATGTTTATTGTTTGGGCTTTTCTATTGCCCAGAAAAGACCTCCCCACATACTTCCGAAAAATCCCCACAGCCCTCACAGCTCATCATCATCACCAACGTGGCTACGATGGATACAGCCACCCTGATATCTTTTTTTTTTTTGCAGTACGCGGGCCTCTCACTGCTGTGGCCTCTCCCGTCGTGGAGCACAGGCTCCAGACGCGCAGGCTCAGCGGCCATGGCTCACGGGCCCAGCTGCTCTGCGGCATGTGGGATCTTCCCAGTCCGGGGCACGAACCTGTGTCCCCTGCATCGGCAGGCGGACTCTCAACAACTGCGCCACCAGGGAAGCCCTCCACGCTTGAGTTTTAACCTGCAAAAGGGCAAAGACTGGGCCTTGCCTGGGGCCATACTCACAGCACCCAACATAATACCTGGCACAGAGCAGGTTCTCAAAATTATTCATGAATCAAATAAAATAATGAAGGCAGGCCAAGAAGACTTGTAGAAAGTGGGGAGTTGGTCCTGCCTAGGCTTTTAAAGGCTAAGGAGGCAAAGAAACTAAGAGGGGGACAAACGAACCCATGAACTCCACTGGATCCCAACTCCCTCCGGCCCCACCCATCACTGAAATGTTCTGTTTCCCAAACCTCAGGACGCCCAGTCCCTCACGTCTCAGAGCACCCCAACCCCCATCTGCATCCCTCCCTTCCTGCCTCTCAGCCACGCCCTCTCTGCCCGGAGCCAGCTCTTGCTTTTGGGGGTGGTAATGGGCCCCGTGGGAACTGAGTTACCTCCACAAGGCCTGGCCAGGGTGGGGCCGTGCCTGTCCCTGGGGGTGAGCCTCTGGGCTGTGCAGTTACGTCGGATGAGCAGCAGAGAGCCAGACTCCAGCTGTCACCATGGCTGAGTTCAGTGTGAGGGTATCCACTGGGGAGGCCTTCGGGGCTGGCACGTGGGACAAAATGTCTGTCATCATCGTGGGGACCGAAGGAGAGACCCTGCCACTGCCCCTGGACCATTTCGGCAAAGAGTTCAGCGCCGGCGCTGTGAGTGTGGGGTGGGGGTGGGGGCGGCGGCGGAGGGAGCAGGAGAGGCGGTGCTCTAGGATACTAAACTTGCCCCCCAGGAGGAGGACTTCAAGGTGACGTGCCCCCAGGACGTGGGCCGGGTGCTGCTGCTGCGCGTACACAAGACTCCCCCCACGCTGCTCCGTCCTTTCTGGCCCCTGGCCTCGGACGCCTGGTTCTGCCGCTGGATCCAGCTCACGCCGCCCCGGGGCGCCCCCCTCCGCTTCCCCTGCTACCAGTGGCTGGAGGACCAGGGGAGCCTGGTACTGCGGGAAGGGACAGGTGAGGGGGACACAGGAGGGAGGAAGGGGCTGGTGTATTGGGGGGAAAGGCGAGGGGAGTGGAGAGGTGAGCCGGTGTGGCCGAGGGGGAGGGACAGGGAGTTTGGGGGAAGAGGGTGGGGTGGCAGTCTGGTGTGGGAGAAACTACTTATGGGGGCAGGGGATCTGATAAGGGGTGGCTGGAGTGGAGGGGAGAGCAGCTGGGGCCGGAGGTCAGGGGGCTTTCTCTGTCCTCCCCACCGGCTCCGCTGCTCCCACAGCGAAGATTTCCTGGGAGGACCGCCACCCCACCCTCCAGCAGCAGCGCCAGGAGGAGCTGCAGGCCAGGCGGGAGACGTACAGGTGAGGAGGGGGTTACTGGGGGGGAGGCGGGTTGCCGAGGGTCAGCCTCGTTCCGCTGGTGTTGACGCGGCCTGAAGTCCCTGCCTGGTCCTCTGTCCTTTCCAATCACAGCATCTCCAGGAACTCATTAGAAATACAGTTTCTCAGACCCACCTCATAGCTACTGAATCAGATATTGAGGGTGAGGGGCAGCAGTGTTGGTGTTTTTGACTGAAGTCTAGTTGATTTACAACGTTGTGTCCATTTCAGGTGTACAGCAGCGTGCCCTGGGTTGTTTATTTGCAGATTATATTCCACTATATGTTATTACAAGATACTGGCGTCAGCTTAATAAAAATGTGCAGCATGACAGTTGTGGGTTAAGTTTTATTTGGGGCAAAATGAGGACTACAGCCCAGGAGACGGCATTTCAGAGAGCTCTGAGAAACTGCTCCACAGAGGTAGTGGGGAAAGTCAGTACCTATGTGATTTTGGTGAAGGGAGAGCTCTTGCAGTTGAGCACATATTTTGTTTTGCAGAAGGTTTCTAATAGTCATGAAGAGCAGTCGTCACCATGAAGGATTTTAGTGCTTTTCTGGATATGAGGAGATACGAGAATTGGGTTCATAAAATCATATCTATCTGAAAACCTGTTCTGCCCGTTTTGCCCAGAGCACAGAATGCCTCATTTCTGCTCCCCACCCTGAACTCCTTTGGGAGTTGAAAGTCAGCAACTGCAGCAACACATGATTTAGTCCTTGTCCTTGTATAGGAGGATGGCAAGGGCCAAATTGTAGTTGACGCTGGATATATAATTCCCTGTAGCGATAACAGTAAATCCTTGCTGCTAACAATATTGGGTTTTTTTTTTGTTTTTTGGTTGTTTTTTTTGGGGGGCTGCGCCTGACCGGAGATCAAACCTAAGCCACCTGCATTAGGAGCGGGGAGTCTTAACCACTGCCCCACCAGGGAAGTTCCGCTAGCAATATTGTTTTAACAAGCCTTCCAGATGACTCATGCCCACTGAAGTTTGAAACCCACTGCTTTTTTTTTTTTTTTTTTTTGCGGTACACGGGCCTCTCACTGTTGTGGCCTCTCCCGTTGCGGAGCACAGGCTCCGGACGCGCAGGCTCAGCGGCCATGGCTCACGGGCCCAGCCGCTCCACGGCATGTGGGATCCTCCCGGACCGGGGCACGAACCCGCGTCCCCTGCATCGGCAGGGGACGGACTCTCAACCACCGCGCCACCAGGGAAGGCCTGAAACCCACTGCTTTTAAATGCCTCACTCTTGCTGGAGTCTTTCTGGGTCGCTGGCGAGGACTTCTAAGGCAGAAAGCCAGGGACCACACGCGCGAGCAAATGTTCGAAAGGTCATGGTCTGGCCAACTGGGCTGCTGTCTGAAGAGCGGGCTGCAGGCTTGCGCTTTAGGTCTCTGGGGGCACAGCAGCTGCAGGCTTACTTGGCTCCTGGTGATTCCACGTGCGTTGTGAATTACATCCCAGAGAAAACCATGGCGCCTAATCCGCCAGCATCAGCCCCAGGTGAGGGAACAGATGGCGGGAGCTGTGTCTGTGGAGTGGCCTTTCTTCCTTTCTTGGCAAAACAAGGACACAGGAGTCAGGAGACGCAAGGCCAGCCTAGGCCCTGCCGAAAGGAGCTGTGAAATCTTAAGCAAATTAGTTAACCTTTTTGATCCTTAATTTCTTCTGCAAAAGGAGCTAAGAATACCAGGCTGATTTGTGTTATTAGGAAAAACAAATGAGAAGATGGTTGAGAATGTAGCTTGTCAGCCGCAAAGCCCTGCACACGTGTGTACCGAGGTTCGTAATGCCCCTCAGTTACCTCTGATCCAAGTGGCTACGCCCTCAGTACTCAGAGTGAGGTCTCACGTCCACAGGGTCGGCATCACCTGGGAGCTTGTTAGAAATACAGGGTCTTGGGCCACCCCAAACCTACTTGATGAGAATCTGCATTTTACCAAGATCCCTGGGGGAACTAAGTTTTTGTGCATTAAAGTTGGAGAAGCAGGGTTTGGCCACCACCTGGTGGCAGTGTACTTTAACTGCAAATTGTGCTCTGAAGTTGCCTGTTCAAACCCAAAGGCAATGACGGAATGAACCAAAGAATGAATGAGGGAGGGAATGAGAGGATGACTGGCTGGGGGTCCTCAGCTTTGCAGGGACATGATTTTACCATTTCACCTAAAGGTCTTCAGGCTGTGTTGCTTGCTGGATAAAGGGATTTAAAGAGGCTAGATCTCTTTAGGCCGGGCCAGAGTACATTTCTGGGCTCCCCCAAGCTTTGGAGGCTGAAGTGTCTCTCCACGGGATGCCTGCCAAAGGCAACTGACGCCTTCCTGTGTTCCCACCTTCAGGACAGCCTCCGCTCTGTGATGCATCTGTGTTAGTCAGGAGTTTTGTGGTTGCAAGAACGATAACAGACTCCAGCTAGCAGACAGAAAAAATGGGAATGCGTCAACAGGTCACAGAAGTGAGGGCTGGAAGCGTAGCCAGATCTTACGGGCCAGAAGCCAGGGTGACTCTCCTCCTGTCTCTGGAGCCCCCTAGATGCTTCTCTCTCTGGCTTCACTTTCCTCTCTCCCTGCAGAACAGCTTTCTTTGGTTCCCAGTCCACACAGTGGAAAATGGCCTTTTTTTTTTAATAGCAACTCCTTTATTTTTAATTATTTTTAAAAATTTATTTATTTATTTGGTTGTGCCCGGTCTTAGTTGCGGCAGGCAGTCTTCTTAGTTGCGGCAGGCAAACTCTTAGCTGCGGCACGCACATGGGGTCTAGTTCCCTGACCAGGGACCGAACCTGGGCCCCGTGCATTGGAAGCACGGACTCTTCACCACTTCACCACCAGGGAAGTCTCCCAGTCCTGGTGTTTATGTGCTATAACCCAGATATCCAGAGAGAGATGACCTCTGGTCCAGCCCCAATCTCCAATTCCCTGGGAAGGATTCTGATTGGCCTTGCTCTGGCCAGGTGCCCAACCCTGGACCAATCAACTGACCAGGGGAGAACATGGCTGTGGGAACATGGCAGCTCTCCCTGCGGCCTTGAGGGTGGAGGGGAAGGGCAGAGCCCAGGAAGACCCCTGCTTGTGGAAGGGGGCTGGCCGTGACCAGGGCCTCCAAGGGGTCTGCCACTCCCTCTCCCTAGTCAGTGGTTTCCCTGAGGCTTCTTGCTAACTGCCTCCCTGGTCCTCCCTCCAGCTGGAAGACCTACATCCCAGGCTGGCCTCGCTGCCTCAACGAGGAGACCATAAAAAACCTGGACCTCAACATCAAATACTCTCTGGCAAAGAACATCACCTTCTACCTGCGAGGCAGCTCGATGTGAGGATGCCCACCCTCTCCTGCCCCTGGGCCCCAGGGGTACGGGTACCCCTGCCTTCTGCCCTCCCCCACTCAGCTCCCCCACCATCAGGGATGTGGGTCACACAGCCCAGCCCAGGGCACGGCCTCTGCTCACCACCTGTTCCAACAAGGTGAGGATGACCTCAGGGGCAGTGACTACCACGGTCCCCCCCGGAGGCTGGTTCAGGACCCCAAGATGGATAAGCTTAGCCAACGCGGGCGGGTCTCCCAGGGCCTCTTGCCTCCCTCTCCCCACTTTTCACATCTTCTGGCAGGTTGGCACATCTGAAACTCAAAGGGCTGCTGGACCGCAAGGGGCTCTGGAAGAGCCTGGAGGAGATGAGAAGTGTGTTCAACTTCTGGAAGACCCCAGCCGTGGGTGAGGGGCTCCAGCCGGGGCTCCAGACCTCTTCCCTGGGGTATCAGCTCTCCTGGCTGTCAGGAATCTCAGAAAACCAAGCGCCAGTTCACTGTGTGACCCTGGGCAGGCCCCTGACTCCCACGAGACCTTACTTTCTCCTCAGACACAGAAAAGGACGTGTCGTGGGGGCACCTCTGACCTTCTAACGCCTTGTATCCATCAGACACTTGTTGGGCTACTACACATGAGACACTCGCTTAGGGACTGTGGACACAGTCCTTGCCCCCACAGGGCTCCCAGTTGAGCAGACAAGTAGACATTAGGCTCAAAGGCAAATAATGAGTTTCGCTTATGAAACCTGTGCATCAGCTCCAGTGAGAGTGTGTAAAAGGGGGACCTGGCCTAGTCCAGCTAGGGAACTCTCTACGGAGGTGACTTTTATGCTGAGACCTCAAAGTGGGGAGGTGTCAACAGCGCCAGGCACGGTGTGTGAGCGCAGAGGGTGCTTCAGGTTCAGGGGGGGCGGTCCGGTGCATGTGAAGGCCCTGAAGATGGAAGGAGTGGAGACCTTTGAGGGGAAAGATGCTGCTGTGGCCAAAGGGGATTGAGCCAGGGAAGGAAGACAGGAGGCGAAGCAGGAGACGTGCATGGGCCCTGGGCCGTGCAGGACTGTGGAGGCCGTGGCAGGAGCTCGGGCCTTTCCTAAGGGCAGTGGGACCTTCAACCAGCTGCCAGCTGGGGAGTACTGTGGCCAGATGTGCCGTGGGGAGGGGGCTGTTAGGGGACAGGAGTGCAAGCAGGAGGACCAGTTATGAGGCTCTGGCTGTGGTCAGCAGAGGATGGAATCCTCAGCGAGGCAATGACAGCAGAGATGGAGTGGACGTGTGGAGCAAGAGCTACTGAGGATGGAGAATCGGTGGGACTCGATGGGCGGAGGATGGGGGGAGCTGCCGAGAGGACTCCGGGCTCTGCCACCTGCAATCCAGTGGATGAAGGTGCCATTCCCGGGATGCCAGGCAATGGGCTGGGGACTGGGCTAGAGCAGGAGCCCATGTTCAGCCTCCGATATACTGTGTTTGAGTCATGGGGTTGGAGATGGCAGGTAGATGGTGGGACTGGTGGGCTGGGGACTAAGGTTTGCTGTTTGGTGAACTGAAGCCAAGGGGTCAGAGGAGGTCACCCTGGGAAGTACTGCATGAGAAGAGAGGGGAGCACAGGATGGACGCAGGAGAAACGCCACAATGGCGCTCAGGGGGAGACCCCTGGGCGCTGGGGTGACTGGTCCCATCTCCCCTGCCCCCCTGCAGAGTATGTGTTTGAGCACTGGCAGGAGGATGCCTTCTTCGCCTACCAGTTCCTGAATGGCCTCAACCCGGTCCTGATCCGCCGCTGTCGCCACCTCCCAAAGAACTTCCCTGTCACTGATGCCATGGTGGCCCCAGTGTTGGGCCCCGGGACGAGTCTGCAGGCTGAGCTGGAGGTGAGGGGCACAGGAGTCCTGGCTCTGCACACCCCCATCTCAGTGCTTTGGGCCCATCCCCTACTGGAGAGGAATAACACTCACATTTGTTAAGGACCTACTGTGTGCTACGTGCCAGGAACACCCTCTCCCATGCACAGTATCCTGGCCCTGAATCCTCTCCCCACCCCCCTACTCCCCACCTTCTGCCTTTAGAAAGCCAGATGGCAGCCCTGGCTCCCCTTCTCTCTCCCGCAGAAAGGGTCCTTGTTCCTGGTGGATTACGGCATCCTCTCTGGCATCCGCACCAATGTCATTAATAGGAGGCCTCAGTTCTCCGCGGCCCCAATGACCCTGCTATACCAGCGCCCAGGGTGTGGGCCCCTGCTGCCCCTCGCCATCCAGGTCAGCAGCCGGGCAGGCGACAGGGCAGGGGCAGGGAGAGGTCTGACTAAATGGTTGGCAGACACTCAAGGCTGCCTCTCCCCACTGGCCTCTCCTATAGCTCAGCCAGACCCCTGGGCCCGACAGCCCCATCTTTCTGCCCAGCGACGACAAGTGGGACTGGCTGCTGGCCAAGACGTGGGTGCGCAATGCTGAGTTCTCCATCCACGAGGCCCTCACACACCTGTTACAGGTACACCTGGTGACCGAGGTCTTCACCCTGGCTACGCTGCGCCAGCTGCCTCACTGCCACCCACTCTTCAAGGTCAGTGGCCCAGCAAGACGACCCAGACTGTGCCCCAAGCCTGCAGGTCGCTGCACCTGGGCCTGCCCTTCGGGGTCCTATGCCGCCTGTCCCCACGTGGCCCTGTCCTTTCAGGCTGAGATGCTGAGCCCCCATTCTGCCTCAGCAGCATCTCCCTGCACAATTCCCCTGAGAGGCTGCTTTCCAGCAGGCCCTGAGCTAGGGTGAGGTGATGAGGACAGGCGCGAGGGAGAGGACCGCATGTGACAGCAGGCTATGCCCCAGAGAGATTCTCTTCTTAGGGGAGCTCAAGACAACAGCGATCACAGAAGCCCAGCTCCTAGGAAAGGAGAGACCTGGGGCTGAGAGATGCCAAAGTGTGAACATGGCTTTGACCAACAGGTTTTCTGCAGATAGCTGCAGGGTGGGGAGCCCTGGGAGGGAGACCCGTGTCTCTAAGGTGGGCTCTGCTAAGCCTTCAGATGGCCCAGATTCATTTCCTCCAGGGACCTGGAGCATCTCCTCTGTGAAGATGAGGGGTCCACAGCTACTCACATTTTCTGATTCTTCCTTAGACAGTCTCCTGGGTCCTGATGCAGGCCCTACTCTGTCCTCTTCAATCCAGGCTGATTCTTTCTGACAATCTACAGCTCCCAGGGCCTGGCACTCAGACGTGGTCTCTAGGGGACCATTTCACATTGCCAGGCCCGCAGGCCCTGGTTATCACGGTGCTTTGCCTGCCTGGGGTTAGGAAATCACAGGAGGCCAGAGCTGGAGGGATTCATAGTGCTGTCCAGATCAGCCCTCTCATTTGCCCAGTGATCTGATGCCCAGAGAGAGGAAAACACATGCTCAAGGTCACAGAACAGGATGCTGGTGGACCTTAGCCCCCATCACTGGGCCTGGAGCCCTGATCCCTATCCCAGGCTGCCCCCTTGTCCCTGTCATCTCTCTCCATGTGTGATTGACAAGCCTGGGTTCCTCTATGGGGGGGCGGGTCTGGGGCCACAGAGACCCAGGCTTCGCCTAGCTCTGCCTTCTCTGGCCCTTACAGCTGCTGATCCCACACACACGGTACACCCTGCACATCAACACGCTGGCCCGTGAGCTACTCATTGCCCCTGGGAAGGTGGTGGACAGGGTAAGGACTGCTTTAGGGAGGGTGGGGATGGGATATTCCTGCAGTGTAAAGAATCTGGGGTCTTGGGCTTCCCTGGTGGCGCAGTGGTTGAGAGTCCGCCTGCCGATGCAGGGAACGCGGGTTCGTGTCCCGGTCTGGGAAGATTCCACATGCCGCAGAGCGGCTGGGCCCATGAGCCATGGCCGCTGAGCCTGCACGTCCGGAGCCTGTGCTCCGCAACGGGAGAGGCCACAACAGTGAGAGGCCCGCGTACCGCAAAAAAAAAAAAAAAAAAAAGAATCTGGTGTCTTGGGGTGGGAGTGGCCCTGTCTCCCCAACCACTATTACCTCCTGCTTCTGGGGCAAGGGCTGTGGTACCCAGGAGTCCCGTTTCCCAGTCCACAGGCCTTGGCATTGAAGGTTTCTCTGAGCTGATACAGAGGTACATGGAACAGCTGAACTATTCCGTCCTGTGTCTGCCTGAGGATATCCGGGCCCGAGGAGTTGAAGACATCCCAGGCTACTACTACCGGGATGATGGGATGCAGATCTGGGGTGCAGTGGAATGGTGAGGGGGCCAGCCCCAGAGAGCTGGGGCCTTGGGGGACAGGAAGGAAGACTGGGAAGGAGAAGGAAGGCCCAGGGAGGCGTCCACCAGGAGGAGGGCCGGACATTCATAGCACTGGGACCAGGCGGGGGCACTCCTCAGAGAGGGTCGGGGTTCACAGCTGGGATGGAACCCCGTGCACCTTGCAGCTTTGTCTCCGAAATGATCGGCATCTACTACCTGAGCGATGAGTCTGTCCGCGATGACAGTGAACTCCAGGCCTGGGTGTGGGAGATCTTCTCCGAGGGCTTCCTAGGCCGGGAGAGCTCAGGTAGGGGGACCTCGGTTCTTAGGTTCTACCCTCAGGCCACTGCGGCATTGTCCTCAGGACCCTGGTAGCCCCGTTCCCAGCCCAGCTCTCCCTGCAGGCGTACCCTCCTCCCTGGGGACACGGGAAGCCCTGATACAGTATGTCACTATGGTGATATTCACCTGCTCGGCCAAGCATTCCGCTGTCGGTACAGGGCAGGTGAGAAGGGTCAATGCCAGGGTGGCGGGACGGAGGGGGCCGGGCTCCTAGCCTCACTCTGCCCTCTAGGCCTTCAGTTTGACTTCAGTGCCTGGATGCCCAACCTGCCACCTACCATGCAGCTGCCACCGCCCACCTCTAAAGGCCAGGCAAGCCCGGAGAGGTTCATAGCCACCCTCCCACCAGTCAATGCCACATGTGATGTCATCGTTGCCCTCTGGGCACTGAGCAAGGAGCCTGGAGACAGAGTGAGTGTGGGGCTGGGAGCCAGACCAGGCCAGCCCTGGGGTAAGGGAGGCGACACTGTTTACTCTCCCTGACCCACACCCCACTGTGCCATGAGACCCCGGTGAGTCTTCCCAGGAGGACACGAGGGCATTGGACATCTCACAAGGGGTCAAATGGCCAAATGAGATGATGCAGAGTCACCCTTAGCTGCAAGGGCAACGTGTGATATGTTCCAGTGAGGCCGCCCCCTTTAAAACTCTCACGTGAGCTTTCATCCCCGAGAGCTGCCTGCAGTAATCATCACTGTTCAGGGGGAGGGGGCACGGGTGAGGCTCAGTTGTAGGCTGCTTCAGGTCCCCCAGGGTGGATGGCTAAGGCGGGTCCCGGCTGCAAAGCAGCCCCTCCACCCAGCCTTGTGTTTGGTTCCCAGCGGTCCCTGGGCACCTACCCGGACGAACACTTCACGGAGGCGGCCCCGTGCTGGAGCATCGCGGCCTTCCAGAGCCGCCTGGCTCAGATCTCGCGAGACATCCAGGAGAGAAACCAGGACCTGGAGCTCCCCTACACCTACCTGGACCCTCCCATCATTGAGAACAGCGTCTCCATCTAAATCCCCTGGGGAAAAGGGCCCCACATGACATCCCTTTGACCCCATAGCTCTAGGCTACCTGCCACCCAGAGAAAAGGACTCCCCAGAAAACCAGGCCCCCATATGCCCCTGCTGGGTCTGGTGTAACTCATCCCCAATACACCGCAAAACAGAAACAAAAAAAAACCCCAGAGAATAAAAGCTCATTGGACGGCACCACTATGCCACTAAGACTCCAAGCCTCAAAGTCCTGAACAACCACAGCCCCCTGGAAGGGTACCATAGGGGGAACACAGTCCTGCCCCCAATCCCACTGACCACAGCTGACTGGACCTAATGGTCATGCGGCTCAAGGGCAGCCCTCTTCCAGACCATCCAGCAGCATAAGGCGTGGCCCGCCTGAAAACTGCTCGAGAGATTGATGGTGACCTATGGTCCCAACTTTAAAATGAACAACCCACTGAGAAAGGGCCATGGGAAGCAAGGCAGAAGGAAGACCTACTGCCGGGGACTTGCAGGCAGTGCCCACATATGCTTTCTAAAAAAAACATACCCTGGGACTTCCCCGGTGGCTCGGTGGTTAAGAAACCGCCTGCCAATGCAGGGGACATGGGTTCGAGCCCTGGTCCGGGAAGATCCCATATGTGGTGGAGCAACTAAGCCTGTGTCACAACTACGGGAGCCCACATGCCTAGAGCCCATGCTTCGCAACAAAAGAAGTCACCGCAATGAGAAGCCCGTGCACTGCAACGAAGAGTAGCCCCCGCTTGCCGCAACTAGAGAAAGCCTGCGCGCAGCAAAGAAGACTGAGCACAGCCAAAAGTAAATAAATAAATAAATATTTAATTTAAAAAATAAATAAATACTACATTAAAAAGTGATAAGTGCTGAAGAGAAGCTATAAAGCAGGGAAGGATAATACAGTAAGTCCCCTACACACGAGCCTTCAAGTAGCCAACTTTTAAAGATGCGAACATGCTTTCGCATATCCAATCACCTAAGTTAGCTCCCGTGTCTGGTATATATTGTCATGTCCCTGCATCCTCTGCAAGTGGTTGTGCTTTTGTGTACTTTACTGTACAGCGCTGTATAGAGTACAGCAGTACAGCATCTTTATTTCAAGACCAGGATGTCTGGAAGCAAGAATAGAAGCAGTGGTGATGTAGCTGGTACTGCTGAGAAGCGCCAGCTGTTGTACTGCACTGCTGTACTTCTCAAGGTACTGTCCTGTAAGATTAAAAATGTTTTCTTTATGTTTTGTGTTTGTTTATGTATTATTTGTGTGAAAAATATTATAAACCTATTACAGTACAGTACTGTACAGCCAGTTGTGTTAGTTGGGTACCTAGGCTAAATTTGCTGGAATTAGGAACAAATTGGACTTATGAACGTGCTCTCAGAACACAACTCATTCGTATGTAAGGGACTTACTGTATAAAGTATAGGGGAGCAAATTTAGATATAGAGTAGCCAGGTAAGAGCCCTTTAGAAGGGGACTTTTGAGTAAAGGTATAAAGTGTGGTCGACTCCTTCCAACCACAGGGCCTTTGCACATACTGTTCCCTCTCCACCTCTTAGACCTGGTTAATGTTTCCTCTTCCTTCAGATCTTAGCTTGATAATTGCTTCATCAAGAAAGACCAGGTTTAACTCTTAATGGCTCCCAGAGCACTGTAGATGGATGGATATCTTTCTTTTCCACTAGATTAGACTGTCTGTAATTTGGTTTGGTTTTCTCCCCACCTCCAGGCACAGTACCTGGTAACTGGGAGATTCTCGAAACAAGGGTTAGTGATGAGGACAAGATCAGGGTTGGGAACTGGATCAATGATGGGATTGGAATTAGGATGAATATTCAGTAAGGATGAGATGAGGGGTAGGAAGTGACGTGAGGGCGGGGAATGCCTTAAGGGGTTGGAGGCAGGACAGAGAAGAGGCTGGGGATGAAGGTCATGCACATGCTCTGTGACTGGCAGAGCTGTCTCATTTGCCTGGTCACAGTACTCTCACGGGCTGTCAGGCCGGTCAGGCCTGCCCTCCTGGGCTCTGCTCAGCCACCCTGATGACCCTTGTGTGATGCGAGGAACTTGATGATTCAAATTTGCATCTTAAGATGAAAATTTACCCAGCCTCCTGCCTTCTAGCCACTGCCCTTCTCTTGAGACTGTGCCCCCAGGGGGCTGCTAAGGCTCTGTAAGGAGCAGGGCCAGTGGAGGGGGGAATTGAGGCTCAGAGGTTTGGGAAACTGCACCTCCAGGCCCCTCTGGGATGCTGGGTCCTGGAGGAGCAGGGATGAGAGGCCCAGCCTTAACCTTCTAATCAAGCAGTAGCATCACTCTGTGGAGGTGGGAAGGAGGCAGGGGCACACAGTCAGCCTGGAGGGGATTGTGGGAGGGGATTTGGAAGAAACAGGGGAGGGAGCTGATGGTGTAGAAGAGTTTGGGCGCCATTTTCCAAATCACAATCCATTCTCAATAGGTGTCCCCCAGCCAACCCCTCTGTCCCAAAAAAAGTAGGAGTGGTGGCTCCAGGTTTGATCAGGGCTCAAGTCTGGAGTGGAAATTAGGTTCCCAAGGGAAACAGATGGAGATGGGGATGGTGGGGACGTGGATGTGGCCGGGGACATGGATGGGATTAGGCACGAGGATGTAGATGGAGCGCTCCCCAGTTACAACCAAAATGTGGATGCGTGACTCTGGGTAGGTGCTCATTGGGCTGAAGAACCGGTTCTCCTTGACCAGGGGTGGACCCGGAGAGCAGGAGAGGCCCCAGGGAAGGATGTGAGCTCACTGGGTTGGCTCACAATGAGCCACCCACACAGGAAGCTGAGCCCTCACTGCTGGGGCACCCACCCCACCCCCACCTTGCCCCACCCAGAGCTCTGCAAGGCAGGGGAGCAACCCCTGGAGCCCCCCGCCCCCCAAGACAGAGGGAAAACAATCAGATTGGGTCACTCCCCTACTGTAAGCCAGAGCTTAAAACCGTGTTTCCCTTAGAGTCAAATCCAAGGACTCAACTGTGGACTATAGGATCGTGCATGACTCAGCTTCCATCCACCCCTGGGTCACCTATTGCAGCCACTCGGGCCTTGAACGCACACCCTTCAGGGCCCTTGCACTTGCCCTGTCCTTGTTTGTAACACATTTCCCCCCAGTCTCAACTCAGCTGTCACCTCCTCAGAGTGACCTTCCCTGATCACCACATCTAATGCTCCCCCCAACCCAGGTCATGCTAACACACCACCTGGTTTCATCTCCTGACTGCACTTGCAACCATCTGAAAGGATGTATTTGTTTATGTGTTTGTTTATGTGTTTTTTGTCTGCCCCCATAAGCCAGTTGAAGTAGGGGTCATGCCAGGGGAATTGACAGCCGCGTTCTCCACATACTGTCTAGGGAGACAGGAGCCATGAGGCAAGCAGACCCCAGAACGTCAGTGCTGGAAGGGACTTTCCTGGTCTTCACGTTCCTCCCATTTATCTGAAAAATCTGGGCCACTGAGGCTGAGGGACTCGGAAAGAGGGCTGGTATCTTCTCTTTACACCATACCAGCTGCCCTCCAGACTTACGGAAAAGCACAGAGGGGGTCCAGGGTGCAAGCTGAGGGACGCCACCTGTCTGACAAGGCTGGAGCTTTACATGGGCCCCCTCCCCACATCCTGTCCCCAGAGGCTTCCAGAGCCCACGGAGGATCCTACGTGTGGCCAGGTGTGTCTCCCCAGTAAATCTCCCTCCAAGCTGGCTTTCTGGGGAAACAGATTCCGGTGATCCCCCCTGGTTCCACCCTCTCTGGCTCTGGGACATTTGCAGACGAGGCATGTCTTCTAATGCTAACTTTGGTGCAGGCCAAGGAGTGTCCGTCCTCTTGGAAAGACAAGCTGCCTGACTGTGCCCTGACATCCTTCCAGCGTATCCCGGTCCTGCTGTTCTAAGTCAAGGCCCAGGTTTACGGGGATGGCACATCCAGCCTCTGCTATAGTTATTCTAGCCACAAGGGGGCGCCGTTGGGTATGTCTTATTCCTTGATTTTGTTCAAAGGCGAGCAGAAACTGGTGATTTTGGCTAAATTCTTAGGTTGGAATCTGCAGGTGAGACATCCCCAAACACGCCTCTTCGTGCACAATGCCATGGGGATCCTATTCTCCCAGTATCACATGTTCAGGAAGTGAAAATCCGATCTTTGGCAGAGCCAAAGTCTGCCCCACGTCCACTCCCCAAAGACACTGTGACCAGGGTTTGGTCGGGTACAAAATTTGACTCCGGAGGCAGAATAGGTAAGGGGGGCTAGATCTGAAGTCTAGGGAAGCAGGAAAATGGGAAGGTTGGGTGGCTGTGGAGAAAGATGTGGATGACTGGCTTGAGGGCTGCACAAATCTCAATTTTTAAGGGCTACAGGTCTGGAAGGGAGAACATTAGACCCCCCAGATTACCATCTGTTTCAGTCAGGGTGGGTTAGATTATGCTGCAACAACAAATAATCTCAAAATCTCAATGGCTTAACCCAGCAAAAGTTCATTTCTCACTCAGCTCCATGCCCAGCTCAGGTCATCACGGGGCTCTGCTCTAGTCCCTCAGAGACAGAAGCTGATGGAAGCAACATCTCATCACATGCTTCTAGAACAGAGAGGTAGAGAGCAGAGAACTCTGGTGGGCTCATGCCAGCAGTTAAATGCTCCAGCCTGGAGATGACCACATCACTTCTGCTCATAGCTTGTTGGCCAAAACTCATCCATGACTCCACCCATGCACAAGAGAGCCAGAGGTTGAATCCTCCATGTGTCCAGAAGAGGAACCAAATCTCAGTGGCAATGCTAACAACTCCCACACCCAGAAGCTGGATTCTCAGGCTTTGCAAAATACCCATTTTTTTGTATCGGCCCCTTGAGTCTGGATATCCCTTCACCTTCTGATGGATAACACACTCTGGGAGGTGAAGGAATGTAGGATCTGGCTAGGTGGTGGGTTGAGCTGGGAGGCTTCCTGTCTCCAGAGCAGGTGATCCAGGGATTCATTGCTGCTCTTTCTTTCTCTAACCCCTTGGTTCCCCACCCACCTACGTGCACACAGGAACAAAAACAAAAATGAAATGGGAGCCAAGTATATTGATTTTTATTGAACTTACTGGGCTCAAGGACAAAAATGGTGGGGAATGATAGTGGGGATAGGAAAGAGCTGGGGAGAGACTCCACACACACACACACACACACGCACACACACA